CTACACTCTGCTTCAAGCTGTAGCGGTAGGCAGATCTTGCAGAAATATCCTTACCGCTGGAACTTGAGAGGAACAGAGGGATGGATATATTGTCCCAGCATGTCCCCTCCGCTCGCGCTGCAGCTGCAGATTGTTGATTTCCCCGCCTAGCTTTCCAGATGTCAGCGGCAAAATATACGGCCGCCACCTATGGCGCGTGCGTTGCTACCTGCCGGATATTCTAGGTATCCCAGTAATACCCTTTTCCCTTTTTGTTTTGGGATCTCTTTTTTAAAGCTGGCTGAACATTCGGAAAACGGGTGCCCTTATTAGATCAGGGTCCTGTCTGAGGTATGTTTGTGCCACGCCCCGCGCCTCTGCTCCCCAGGACGTTGGTCTGAAATGTCCTTGTGACCTCTAATGATGATGATAATGATGATGATGATGATGGGACATGCTGGCAGACTTGCCTCAGCACATGCAGGTGCACAGGCATGCCTGGATCCAACAAACCCTTGATTGCATGTGGTACAGTATTTCTGCTATGCACTACTACGGGAGCTCATGTTAGCCTTCTCTCTTCTTGTAAATGGTCCTGTCGTGACTGGTTTTTGTTTTACTTTTTCCATCTCGTCATACCGACGGGCGTTTTCCAACCAGCTAGCCCTGATGTTTGCACTCCAGGACATCCTGCGTTTGCGTCAAGCTGTAGCATTGCCACTGGGCTTGTGACCAGGGACGGGGACTGGGCGACGTCGCAGACCCGGGTGTAACATGCACATGGGAGTCAGCTTCACGTGCTCCAGATGAAGAGGGCCTTTAATTTCATGAGTGTGTTCAACAACTCCACAACTCTCAGATGCAGCGTCTGGCTTTTGACCTTCAGACCGTGCAGCAAAGCGACCCACCGATTGTACATACTTGGTGTGACGAGAATGAGTAAAAAGCAGATAGCTGACAGCAAAAGTGGACCCACAACAGTATTTGAGGCCCGATATGGGAACAGGTAGCTCTTCTGTTGCGTCCTGGAGAGGGGCACCGAGCAGCACTTTGAACAAGTAAGAGCCTTTGCGCTGGTTTGTCTGGGGCTGTTTCTCACGTGCCCATGCCGGATGAACCTTGGAAAAAACCCTTCCAACATCACGACTGGCCTGTCCTGCAGCCGTGTTCTTCTGCTCGTGTGTGTTTAACTCGATACCAATGAAACCATACATGGCACTTGTAGCGCTGCCGGCCGTTCAGATCCTTCATGTTTTTGCAGAAGCTCTACCCTTGCAGCCCATAAACTGTAAGCCTTCTAAATTTTTGAAAAGCGTGGACGCTTGCTGCTGAGGCTAGGTGCAACGACATCGCACTGGCCAGACTTTTAGCTGCATTCTGTCCGCTTTGCGGAAGGCTGCAGACTCGGCCATAGGCCTTGAAAGAGAGACCGCGCGAAGGACGGAATAGTCTCTAGACGGCAGTCATAGAAGAACCGCCGCATTGTGTGAGCCCCGGAGCATGGAGCAGACTGACGCGCACACCACTGACATGTTTGAGAAGTCTTGTTTGCAGTGCCCTCGGATCCAAGGACAGATGCGCCGTCTCAGACGCCCCACGGGACCGTGCTGGTTTGGTGGACCTTGGGGAGCTGGATCCCTTGGCGCTCAGGCGCCTGGGTAGGCGTAGCCTCCATGTGAGCAGGACTATAGGAGTAGTATGAGGGACTTAGTAGTGGTGGCGGTGCTGCTGAGGATGGTATAGAGAAGGTGTCAAAATTTGTGCTAGTGACGCTCAGCCTGCAAACACCTGAGCATAGTGGATGCAGGCCACAAGTGAGCAACCAATCTGCATAGGTGTTCTAAGAAGTGGTAACTAGGCTGCAGTGGATGCCCGCATCTGTTGCCCTTGCTGATGACTCTCGAAAAGGGACTCATCGAGAGAAATGACTAGTGTGGCACTGTGTTTAAACTGGGCCCCCACTAACAACAGGGCCCCCAGAAAACTGGAAATTAGGGACTCATGTTTAACGAATATTCGTCTGTCATGACAAGCCTTGCTTATGCGGAGCAGGTCAACCGACAGACTGTCATGAGCGCTCGCAAAATATCTTGGGCCCTCCTTACGCAGTTATTAGGTGTGCGCGTCGGTTTTTGAGCAAATGTCGGGTTTCAGGCTTTGGTTTGTTATGGTTTGTCTAGTTAGGTAGCTTCAGAGAGCTTCTTTCTTTCAGCCCATGAAGCTTACCAAATACCACAAAGGTTGTTTGAGGTTCGGACATCTGGGTGTTTTGAGGGTTAGCCATCCCCTCCTCTCCACGTGACGCTCATTGGCTGCGAAGGTCACACTTGCGCTGAGGCTCGAGTGGCTTTTATAGCTTCAGACCTAAGCCTAGTTGAGCGACAAGGATGTTGGGAATTCAGAATTTGAACAGCAAACCGCTCGCAATGCATGGATGTTGCCGCTGTGTGTCCTTCTGTTGCCGCTTCAAAGCCGCCACGTGCTCGTTGAACTTAACATGCACCGTAATGTTGGACCCGCTTTAGTTATTAAGGGCCTGACACTAGGGCCCTCCCAAAAATGGAAATCAGGGATCCCCAATACGGCCCCCGGAGCTCCCACGGTTCTGAGGTCCCTGTGGATTGATTTAACAGGGATTCTTGAGACTCTTTCCCAAAATTTTGGGCACGAAAATCAAAACGCATTATAGGGGGCCTTGCAATCATTGCCCTGATCCTGAATACGCAGGCCCCAAAGCACGTTATAGGGGACCCTTTGAATAAAGGAGGTCCAACATGAACAGGGCCCTGCTTAAAAAAAACAAGGGCGACAAGGGATCCTTTTTGAGCTCTCATGCTGAGCGGAGTGTGAATTCGGTTGCCAAGACTGCGAAATTGACCCTTTGAATACGGTGGGTCCCTAGGCGCAGGTTACCGTTGCGCAAGTCATTCAAGCCATGCTCACCGAAAAGTTCACAATGAATTTTTCAGATCAGCTGCATGGAACAATTTCCTTGTACGGGCCTGGCGCGAGGCTATGGCAGACTTGGCATCTGTCCTGCATCGCCTGCACCGCGGCTTCGCTGGAGGGCTAGTTCAGGGGGAGCTGGAGAGCCAAAGGTAGCAGGTTAACTGCACCATATGTTTTTAAAAGCTTTGCTCAGCTGGCAGATCTCCTGCCCGTTTATTTAATTGCAGGCTTCCAGGACTTTTCTAGGTTCGGTGGGATGTACCAGCAGTGTGTGGACCATGATTACACGTCATCACCCCAAGTTTCAGACCTTAGGCGGCGATCGTACACAAAGGCGCTTTTGCTCAACTTCCAGTAATGGAAAGTGTCAGGAAACGCCAGCCTGCCACTTGACGCTGAACTTGCCGGGTTGGCTGAACGATAATGAAAAATGTGTGTGTGTGTGTGTGCGTGTGTGCGTGTGTGTGACGTGATCTGATCGCTCACAGTCTATTGCATTTTCTCGCCTCACATGATTTTGATCTACGTCAATACTGCTACTATACTTTGCCGCGCTCAGCTTTGTGCCGTTTTTTGTCCGAACGCTGCTTCGACTCTCGTGGTCCAGTGGTTCCTCTGGTTCTCAGCGTTTGCATCCTGGCGAAAAGCTTGCCAACTGATCTTACCTTTCCGACACTCCACTCCAGCGACGCAATCCACCCGGTGTGGGATGAACATTGCAAACATAATTTCTTTCAAATTATTGACCATAAACTTGCCCTAAACCGAAACCCTCAAGCCCTTGTGTGGAAGGGATGCGGTACCCATAGGCAGCACATATCGCCCCTACAACCAAAAGGACCTAAATGGAAGACGAAACTAGACCCCGAACTTGCAACCGGAAGCTTATGAAGCATCTATTCATACAGGGCTTCCATGCCCACAACGCACCACCCCGAACTGATAAGGCACGATCAGCCATATAGTAGCCCCATGCATTATTCATGAAGAGATCCAGGCAACAGTGAGCGGAGCCTGCACAGGCTCAAAGCCTGTCATTGCTGAGCGATCAGCTTCACAGAGTTGGTCACAAAAAGTCGCGGCTTCTTTGAGAACTGGGGTCGCTTTGTCAAGGGATTCCTGTATCGGATGCCCATATCCTGAGCATACCTTTGTTTGGCCATGTTTGGCTGCTATTTGCTCCTGCCACGCGAAATTTCATTTGCATCTAGTTCGAGTGCTCTATGCATGATTATGTAGCGTGGCAGCTAGCGATGCTTGTGGTACACCAACTATGCATGACCCTTTACCTCAGCATTGCGTTGGTTGTTCTTCCTTGCACGTACTTTTGCCATGCACTCGTACTCTTGCCATTCAGAGCTCTTTAGTTGCGGTTATTCGTTGAGGAGGCATGAGGGCAAGTTTGCGGTCTGCATGGACCAAACCTTACATTATGAAGGAGCATTTCCGTACAAATTGGAGACCGCTCATCGCCTAGCTTGCGCTGCTAAGTGCTTGCAGGCACCATCATTTTGCCGCAGTTTATTTTTTCAATCGGCAGACTGGAAAGTTTAGAGGTTATGCTATTGGGCGTCTCATTGGCCGTCTGGCAGCGGGCTCCGGGATGAGTTCATATTTACAAGCTGGGAATCAAGTGGGCCGTCAGAGTTGTGGCACGTGATAGCACTTAGCGAGGTGTGTTTGGATCATGACATGCGCATCCCTTTCATGCATGTGCGAAAGACGGAAAACAGCGTTTGGATTGAGAGTTCCTTGCATTTCTCTGCTTCCATTCTCCTGAGCTTCCATGTAGTTTCCAACCATGACAGGCACCACGAGGGCCTTAAGTAAAGCTGACGCATTGATGTTTGCAAAGAGGCTTTCCCGTCGATGCTGCATTTGGAACCTGCCTTGTGCTTGCCAGAGCGTTGAGAGCAAAATGGGGGCCCTTTTAAATTTTTTCCGCAGCCAAATATACTAGAATCTATTTCATAAGACCCCCAAACAAGGGCCTTGTTTGGTGGGAAGCCCTGTCCGTCTCAATCAACAACTCAAGTTGGAGCCATGCTTCCAAAGTCGGCCGTGCTGGACTGATGTCTGACAAATGTCGGCCGGGCGCCTGCCATTTGGAGCCGACCTTGAAGGCGCACAGCCTAGACCTCCCAACTGCCTTTTCAGTAGTAACCTCTGAACTGCAACTAATCGGTATAATCGGTACATGGCACTTGTTCAAAATACCCGCCCCCAAAATGGCAGCAAGGTAGGTTCCCTTTTGGTCAGGATCTCCTTTTGAGGAAAGCTGGTTCCAATAGTCCTTCCCTTATGAGGAGTTTTAGAACAACCCCCGCATGGGCTATCATTGCAGTTATGTAGGAGGTCTTGATTAAGGGCCGTGATTGCCTGGCCAATCAATGTTGTAGAGCTCTCGTATGTGGGGTTTCCACAGATTAGGTGTCCTTTTCTGGGGGATCCGTAATACGGGCTCTCATATGCCGGGGTATACAAGGAGGAACGCCAAGTTCATGGAAACTCCTTTGTTGCTTACTTGGTTGATTGAATTGCCTTATGGAGGCATTGCATGGCCGTATGACAATGATAGGCAAAGGCTTCTGGGAAGACAGAAGCTCAACCCCCCCGGCGCCCCCATTTTTCTAGGTGAGGTTGATCTCCGGCAGCATGGCCATGGAACTCCCGAGAGGCTGCTGGCTGCTGGAGTGGGGTTGATGTGATCCGGGCGAGGGGAGAAGTCAATCGCAATCCATACACAATCGAGTAATCTAATATGCCCGCACCCACAATGCGAATTCTTGACAGGCTTCTAATCGTACTTTGGCTTGATAATTCCAGTACCCGACAGCAGTGTACATTTGCATCGCTGCGCGTTGATCAAGGCAGCAATGCTGCAATGATTTACTGATGCTTCAATCAGCCCAGCTTCCGCCTCCCTTTAGCGTCGGTGGTAAGTTGGGGAATACGATGACCTCCAACAGCGAGTAGCATTATACTATTGTACCTTACTGTTGCGTTTTGGATTTAAGGCATAAATAGAATCTTGCTTGGTTCGGCCACCAAGAAAACGCTGTCAAATGAGGTTCTGCGACGTCCGTCCTGGACTTGAAAAGGCAACTGGCGAGAGAGCTGCGCTGGCCACGTTTCAAGCTGAGGCGCCATCCCACCAGGAAAGGATCCAACTTGTGGGTGTTGTTCTGCCTTGGAGGAAGGATTGGGACGCCAGCCTGATGTCTATCCTGAACTTAGGCCATACAGCACGCAGTTGGAGCACGCAAGTTATGCAGTGCAGTGGAAACCTGATGGGTATTGAGGTCTGAGCATGCGGTAGGCAACAAAGGTCCGGATCCCCATCCCAAGACAGGCCTTACCTTCCGTGCCTCATGGGAAAGTATCGAACCTCTGTAGATGCTCCAGGAAGGATCCCCACAATTCTGTTTCGAGGCTCATGCTTGGCAAAGAGGAGTTAAAGGATGAGGCGCGGGTGCTTAGGAAATGGTCTGAGTCTTTTCTGAGCAGATCAAAGTCTGGGGATCCCGTTTTGGTTCTCCCGTGCATTGCCATGAGTCCAGGGAAGCTGAACACAGAGGCCTTTCTCATACAGTTCTGCACATCCAAAAGCGGTAAGGAAAATGCGAGTCCTGTTCCCTGGATGCGTATTTTTATTTGATGTCGCGGTAGAATTCTAGAGCATGCTCATGAGTGGGGAGCCATAAGCCCCAGCCTAAAGGCATTTGAGAAGCGGCCCCTGCAGTCCATGGATGTGACGGTCGTCTTCCTGGAATTCCCAGGCCATGATACTTGAGATACGGTGTGGGATCCTATTCTTCGGGGCACAGAGAGGTTCCACAACTGTGCTAGGCCTAGATCAAAGTGGCCTTGGCTCGGAAACATGTGCAAATCTTTCCTGGGCTCAAGGTTCAGAAGTTAAAGCCAGGCAGTTGGGCTTCTCTTTCAGGTCTGAAGCTTGACTACCATCACAGGAATAATTCCCATTAACGACCACTTTTGCAATTGCGGCTGGTGATGTTGCAGGTAATACTAATGTCATTGCTGCCAAGTCCGAGTCTTCAGGCAAGTTGTGGCTGATCTGGCAGTCACTTTGCGTCAGGGCTTGTCCCTGAGGTGCTTGAGCTCTAGGTGGGCCAACGCCTAGGCCTCTCGCACCAAAGGGTGCAAGCCACCACCGGCAGGTCTAGTCCATGATTACAATGCGGCCTTCTTGTCTGCCGTCGCCTCGCAAGACATGGTTTCAGTCGAGGCCAGGGGCTATCAGAAGTCAAAGGTACATCAACATACTGCGGCCACCTGCTACAGGCCCAACGTTTAGCACAGAACATGTTGCATGGGCTATCATTGCAGCGTGATGGAAGGACCTACTGGGCAAGGCCCAAGATCCGAACTGCTTCTTCTCCCAGTTTTCGGACTCAGATTTCTCCGGCTTCACTGCCCTGACGGCTGCCAGCTGCCTTGGAAACTTGGAACTTGTAGGCCTGCTTCAACAGGCTAGGGCTTACCTTGACTCCCTGGACATGCGTGGTTTTTCGGCACTGCAGATTGCCGTCAGGGAGAACCATCCGAGCATTGTGGAGCTCCTCCTAGAGTCCAGGGCAAACGTAAACCAAAACGTTGCTCGGGGCACCGCTTTGCTAGAAGCCGCCAGTCAGGGTCGGCTGGAAGCCGCCCAGCTTCTTCTCAACGCTGGGGCCGATAAGGATATGGGCGACTCTGAAGGAAGAAGCCCGCTCTTGGAGGCCGCCACTGCTGGACATGCAGAGCTGGTGAAGCTACTTCTGCATGCTCGCGCTAATGTAGATGAGGGCAACTGCTGGGGGAACCACTCCGTGCTTGCAGCCGCATCTTCTGGAAAACTGGACATCCTGCAAAGTCTTATCGCTGCCAAGGCTTCCCTGAATGAGGCAGACATTTCCGGACGCACACCCTTGACTGCCGCCATTGCTGCCAACCGCCCGGACGTTGTGCAGCTCTTGGTGCATGCCAGGGCAGACGTTGACAACATGTACTACGGTTGGGCCGATATACCCCTTCATGCTGCAGCAGCAACAGGGCGATTGGAAGTGGTGCGTTTGCTTCTGCGCGCCCACGCGGATGTGAATGCATCTGGGCGCCACGGCTCGTTACCTTCCATGTAAGCCGCCCTCAATCATCTCCTCTCATCAGTGGTCATTTGTCATCAGAGGGATCCCCACTCAACACTCCTTTTACAACGGGAAGGAAGTCAGGAATCAGCAGCCCACCTAAAATGTTCTGAGGAGCCGGGATCGTATCCCCTTGATCTCGGCTGCTGCTCGCGGCTTCCCTGACGTGGTGCGCCTACTTCTGGAGGTGCATGCTCCCCAAGGGCCTCGGATATTGGTGGCACACATGCACGCGCAGCAAGAACTGTTTTCGAGCATTTGCAGCATTACCCGTCCTATTGCTGCTCCGGCCTGATAGCTTGACATCTATAGAATCACCAGCATCAAGCCCAAGTCTCACGAGTGCGACTGACCGTCCGGAAGCAGGCCTTGGCGGACCCCCTCCGCGCAGATGGCAATGGCCGCACGCCCATGAAGGCAGTTGCATCAGGGTTCAACCTTCAGGTTGCCAAGCATGTGGAGGCTTCAATTCAGACAACAGAAGAGCATCTCAATTTCATTGGAATGAGGAAGCAGAAACGTAGGGCAAGTCAGGGGCCTTCCAATTTTATCTCAGTAGCAAACATCAGGGTCATCTGGTCATTCCAGGATTCCAGCATCCCCATGTACGACTCTTATCCTGCCGGCTTGCAGCCAGAAGAAGCTTTCCAAATGTGTTTAGGTGTTGGAGGTGTTGATGTGTCGCTCCACTCCTGGAAGCTTTGCAGGCCGCCCACGAAAGCGGCCAGGAGGCTGTTCTCAACGTCTTGCAGCTTGGTGGCCGCTCAGGATTTGGCGAGGATGCCCATAGGATCTACACAGATGACTTTGAGTTTCCGGTCTGAGCATAAGTTTGAAGCTGCAAAAACCCCACAGCTGAGGAAGGCAGCCAGAGAAGCCGCACAACCTGCGAAAAAAAGGTTCAACCCGGCTTGCTCTGTAGTGGAGCATGCTTGTAGTGGAACATGCTTTGATTGAGCCTGCTTCAGTCTATGTGAGGCCAGCTTTCGAAGTTTTCTTGTAAAAGCTCCCTTGCCTTCCCAAAAGCCAGAGTGTAATGCAGGCGGATTCACCAGAGAAAAATGTGGAGGCAACCTTCTGAACCGCAGCAGTGCAAGGTTCTAACACCTATGTCTCATGCTCGTGATAGTACTGCTTGTAGTCGAAGATCCGAATATATGTGCCGCACAGGAAGTGCTCGTGCTGAGGCATGTCATGGACTGACCAGGACAGCAGGAACACATCCATCCTGCTACAGCCTCCTCATGATGTTCAGAAGCAAATCTGATGGTCCTTCTAGCCCTGAACAAGAATCCATCCCCAAACCCTACAAGATGCAACCTCCAGGGATCTTTCACAACCACAACCTCTACAGACGCCCAGCCTTCTTATAACCACAGGCTAGATGCAGGCCGATAAAAGCTGATCTTTGCTAGTGTTGCTAGTTAACATTCCCCACACTCTGTTCGGATGAGTGCCAAGCACCAGCAAGCAATATTGTTCTCACATATGTCCATCCATACTGGGGTTTTCGCCGGCACTCATTTTCGCAGTTGTTTGTTACATATGTCGTGATTTGTGTTGCTTGTTGCAGATGTTGCTGGAGGGCTGATGTGACATGGGTTTCAGGTATCATGGACCATTATTCCTAAATTGCCATGATAAAACTTGATTTGCCTGGTGTCCGGGCACCTCATGTGCAAGGTGGAAGGCTTGTCTTGGTTTCGCTGTAGCCGCAGAGACCTAGCTAGACAGCCAGCAAGAATCTGATCATGCAGGATCTTTTAATTTCATGGAGTGCTCCAACCTGGCTGGGCCAATTGGGCCGGCTTGGCTCGATTTGACGACAATTATTGCAGGAGGAAAACATCAACATTCATCAAGCAGAAATTCCTGCGCACGCCATGGATATAGCCACCTGCACCGCGTGCAGGCCGGAACTTGGGTACCTCTCTGCTTTCACTTCAGATTTTACTGGTGAAGTCCTTTGAGCAGGTAAAAAATAGGCGCTACAGGAAAGTTACTTAGGTACGGAAATAACTTCGGAAATCGACCGGCAGCAACTTCCTAAAGTGGTTCCCACTGTGCATGCGGAAGGACGCGGAAACTCTTGCGGAAGCTGTTTGCTTGCGGAAGCTCTTGCGGAAGCCCTTTTTTCTTTGAGCGGATAACGACGAAGATTGCAAATCCCTTTCGCGGAAGCACCGCGGCAGCACCTTGGACGAAAACGTCGCGGAAGAGCCCGCGGAAGCACAGCGTCGGAAAACCTGCCAGCAGTCTCCGTGGAAGGTCCACGGAAGGTCCGCGCAAGCTTGCGGGCGGAAGCTTCCTTATTTCTATTGAATTTGTATGTTTATCAACCGTCCTGTTTTAGGCAAGAAGAAAGCATTCTTGCATGTGTGCTGTGCAGCCTGCTGGGTCCCTGTCTCTGCAATGGATGGAGGCAATATATTGACGTCCTGGCTGCTGGGATGCAAGCCGATGACCAGCATGCGAGTGGCTGCCTGTTCAGCATCTAGACCAGTTTGTTGCACAGCTGCAGGCCCTATGTTTCAAGCGTGGTGCTGTGCCCAGGTTCTTTTCAAGCGGATTCCTTTGAAGCAACACAACTCCGTTCGCCAGCAGTTTGCTGTTAAAGCGGCTACCACCTAGATGCTCGACAGGGATGCTGCTTGAAGTGCTGGATGCGATTTCAGCAAGGCATCTTCAAGCTTTGTAGCCATGCGTCGTTATAGGTCATGAGCACGCCCTCGCAAGTGCACGGCAGCCACCAGTCTGCGTTTGACTGCAGGTATAACTACGTACACCTGCCGCTTGACCACCGCACCAATAAAAACATGTCAATGGCTTTCATCAACTTTGAGGATCGAGAGGCCAAGAGACAGTTTTTTGTTGTCTCTGTGTGTATGGGTGACTTCTGTACTTCCATTTTCAGAACATATGCATGCTCCTTGAAGCGTGTCAGGCTGCGTGCACGGCCTTCCAACGTTTGTTGTGCCCAACCGATTTTCCAGATGCATTCGCTCCGAGCACCAAAGTGCTCTGGGGTGAAATCCATGGTTTGGGGCCGAACTTGGCTCACTTCCTGGTACGTTACGGGGTTGCAGCACTGGATCCTCCCTACGCACCGCTGGTCTTCATCAACCGACGATGTGTCCCTCAAACGAAGACAATTTTGCGGTTGCTCGACTGCAACTTGGCAAGGACTTTCTAGGCTAGGGTTGTTGGGAAAGTGGAATATCCTTGTAGCTAGTAGTTGCCGATGTCGAGCTTAAGAGAAGCCAGCGTGTGGCGTTCGGCCGAACATGGTCTTTGATTTGCAGAGGGACAGGAGACGAGGCAAAACTGTTTAGCAGGATGAGTATGGGATCTGGGCGACCGAGAAATTAGCCTATGGCAGTTGTATGCTTCCGTCTTTTGAGATCTCTCGCCGTTGCGTAGCCAAACCATGTGCAACGTCTGGTCCTTCTCGCCTTGTGGCAGAAGCCCCTGAAAGGCAGTATGTCACTGCAGAGATGCTCACAGCGGCGAAGGCATGTGCGTGCGCAAGTAGCATCCCGCTTCAATCCCTGCAGCTCAATCAAACGGGCTCTTTTTCTCAAAGTCTGGCTCTGGGACTTCTGCATGCAACACCCCCTTGAAGATCATCAGCGCATACTGTATCAGTATAAGGTGCAGATCTCCAGATGTGAGGAGCAAAGCTTTGATCTCACACTGCTTCAAGTAAGCGGAGCTGAAAATCTGACGAGCAGCATGGTTTGAAACCGGTACTTGTACTAGTACCAAGTTATTGGAGAGCTTTCTACTTGGAGATGGATGCAGAGCAGACCTGACTGCCAAAGAAGACAATCAGGAACCAGGGACGGCATGCGAAAAGCATACATCTCAACTCCCCTCGTCTCATGTTTTCCTGCGGATGTAGCCTACTTGACATCTTTTTGGACATCCTTTAGACTGAAGATCAAGTGTTTGGCTTGGCGCTGCCTCTGTCTGCAATGGTGGAGGCATTTCTTCAGAGGAAGGCTCCAATAGAGCTGGGCTCTGCCAGCCTTTCAAGCCGAGGCGGGTGATTCATTGGCCCGATGCACGGAGCCAACATGAGGGCTTTCCCAAAAAACGGGGTACTTTTTTGGGGGGTCCCTAGAATAATTGGCCCAAGATCGGGCTGGATCGAATGCAAGGTGAGATGCAAGTCTCGACAGGGAGCTCCAGATCGAAGATGCCTGGAACCATGAGTAAGCTGGTGGTAATTTTGAAGACGTTGTAGTATGATTTTGGTATGCAATGCGTGTTCAAAGTGCAGGCGCGGATCTTTCAAGCCTGAAGTACCGGACCTAAGGACCTAATGTTACCCTGACAACAGTGAACCTCCCCAAGGCTTGTTTTGAGTTTTTGGGCTAACGAAATAATGCACCAGGGGGTTGGGGTAGGATTAAATAGTACGGGACGTAGCACTAGTAGCACATGTAGAAGGAGAATTACTAAGATCGGGATATTCTCGGGCGCGGAGTTTTGAAATTGTCACCCCTTTATTTTTGTCGATCGAAGTTGTTTGTAGGTTTTCGGGCTCCAGAAAGCCAAAGTAGTTTCTCGACCCCCTTTGTTAATGATAGCACCCAAGCAACCCGTGACGGGGATGCGGAGGGTAATGTTGTCCCTCTTTTATATGGCCCCCTCTCTCAACAATTACAATCCTCGCTGGGCCCCCCCTCAATTGCGCCACGCAATTACAATAGTCAATAAATACAGGAATCTCAGTAATTAGTAGCCGTAAAGCTGCTTAAACTGGCATTGCCATTAGCAGAAAAATCTTTAAAACTTAATTACACCAATTGGAAATCTATTCCTAATCTAGCTAAAATCAGTTAAGTTGTTATTTACAACTAATTAGAACCTAATTCATCTCGCTTGAAATCTGAAATTTATTTGACCTCTAATGAAAATTTAGTCAAAATCGATGGACATCTAATTGAACTTAATGACCGCTATTTCAAGTCCAGTTGAATTGTATTCAAAATCATTTGACATGCAATTGAAAATCTAAGTAAGACCAAGTAAACCATATTTGGAATCAGTTGAGAACTTCATTAGCATCAGTTAAGATCGAATTGAAATCAATTGAAATCCAGTCAAAACCAACCTAGAGCACAATGACAACCAAGCAAAATCTACGTGGATTCTCCTAGAAACCAACAGAAAATCATTTGGAGCCTTAGTAAAACCAATTGAAATCCGTTTGAAACCAAGTGACAATCTCGAAGTCCAATCAAACCAAATCTAGAAAAAAAAACAGTCTAAATCCAAATCCAAGTAGAATCAATAACTGACAACCTAATTAACACAATAGAAACCTAATTCAAAATCCATTTACGGATAACTTGAAGTCACATGAAGTCGAGTAATTAGACTCATTTCAAAGTCATGGTCAAATCATTTGGACTCCAATTAAAACCAAGTGAAAACTTAATCACAACACATACAAATCTAATAAAATCCGTTCAAATCCAATGAAACAAGTGACAATTTAAAAGTCTGGTGCAAAGCAAGTCAAAAAATAATTAAAGCCACTTCAGATCTGATTTGAACCACTTCAAAATCAAGTGAAAAAATTGGTGCTATCCTGACGGAAATTTGGGGGGCTGGAAACATCTTTTAGTATTCCAGAACCCTTTGAAGTGGCTCCAGGCCTCTGCTGTATTACCCCACACAAATTGACGGCTCGTGTCCGTATAATCCCGAGTAGGCGATGATATGAGCCATAGTCTAAACTCCTTAAAGGGGGGTTATATAGGGATTATATAGGGAACTACTATAGGGGTCATTAAGGGGGATACTAGGAGTTTAGACTATGGCTCATATGGAGCTGGCATCTCTTAGTTTCTGAAGTTTGGCGTCTCAGACATCTGGCCTTATAGGTAAGGCTCTGGTGCTAGAGCTCTGGAACTCAGATCCTTTAAGGCCGGAGGCTCAAAGCTTTTTAGTTTCAAATGTATCCTGGTCTAAGAGAAGAAGCAGTCTCAGAAAGCACTTGCAAGCTGTTTCTATTATGCATCTCAGCTAAAACAATCCAAAGATCAATCTATAAATTTTGCTATTCGAATATTTCCGTCCCTCAAAAAATCATTCTTACTGCGGATCCCTTAAACGATACTTGATCATCGGGTCCAACATTCATCTCCTGAGTCGCATGCCGAGCAGCATCAGCTCTTGGGATCTCCTGTGTATCGGGGCAGTCGGGTGGTCGGTTGCAAATGGCCTTCGGACAAACTGCAAGGGCCAGCAGCAACCTGCCTGGTGGCCCATCTTTCAAGTAGAAACTGAATGGAGACAAAACCTGGGCTACGCTGCAGCTGTATTTTGGTAGGTAGCATGTGCTGAGGCTTATCCGAGATGAATGCAGAGCTTTCCGAGATCCCAAGCTACCATCAGGGTGAGCTCGTCGTATATTTGCTATGACCACTCCAAAGGCTGCTCAGCGAAACCGTCATCTTGGCACTTTTTTCTTCAGCCACGATTGTTGACATGTCTGCGGTTGGGGACGTGGTGCAGAAAGTTTGTGAGTAAGACATCAATCTGTTCGGTAAGGTTGGCTGACCGGCCACCGTCTATGCAACAATATAGCTACCAGGCCATGCAGTCTTTGTAGCTTATGTTGCAGTCAATGCCGATGCTGGAATGCTTCTTGACTTTTGCCGGAGGTTTTGTGTGCTGACGCACACACGGAGTAATGTTTAGAAATGTCGCTCCATGGTCTGCCAAATGGGGTTATGCTTATAGTGCAGGCAAGGCTGTTCAGACTGATGCAGAAAGTCTCGAAGCCTTCGCTGAGGTTTGATACTCAAGGTCAGCGCCAGCAGCCCCAAGTGAGTCACAAGGAAGTGCCAAATGCAGGTGTTGTAGCGTCTCCATAATTCAGATCCAGATCGGATGTTGGGAGCCATATGAGCCCTGGTCTAAACTCCTCTATCCGCTATAGTAGTCCCCCTATAGTTATTCACTACACAGTTAAAATTATCCCCTTCATGGAGCTTAGACTTTAGCTCATGTGTAGATTGAACGTCTTAGTCTATTTTGCAGCAGCATCGATACGGTCGTGAAGTGGCTTACGAGCAAACTCCAATATTAAAGGCTTAGTGGCATGGTCTACACCTGGAATGAATGCTCAGACGACCTGTGTCGGGTCTGTGTTGCGCGCAATTTAAGTTGCTAAATCTGTCTTTGCAATTGTGTTGTTGTGAGCGGCATCTAGCCGCCAAACTGATCGAGTGTCAGTCGTTGCAACAATCTGCAAAAAATCTGCGGGGACAGCAAAAACCTTTGACGTAGCCCTTACAACGCGTCGCTAAATGTTTCCTGAGCCTGATGGCGAAAATGATTCCCTCACGTCCGCGTCCTCTCCCCGGAATGAGGACGCAGTGTTCGCACTTGCGAAGCTTTAGCTCGGAAATCCCTGGTGTAATGTCAGCGAGTCGCGGGCCAAAGCTTTCTGTATGGCCTTGAGTACGTGCGAAACCGTGGCACTGCCATCAAGACTCCACAAGAGCCAGCTTATTTCTTTGTAGCCCGAGATCACCATTCGAGCGGGACACGAGCTGGAAAAGCTGAGTGCATGAGAATCATGGACCCATGAAAGCAGCATCGGCATTGCCAAGGGTGAAGACAGGATCGGTTCGGGAAGAAGTTGTAGCTATCGCATGTAGAATTTTGGAGAGATCATTAACGGTTGGTGCTACGTGACGGAGAAGGTCGGACATGTTCACAGCGGCGAGCGCCGAAGCTCCGCCAACAGATGGATAGAAACAACGAGGGAGCTTTGATGCTAAGGCATGTGTGACAGCAAAGCCTCACGCCTTTCGAAAGCAGTGCAGCCACGGTCATCGTCCTTGGCTGGGCGGGCTCAGCAGCATGAGCGAGTTTGTTCCTCCATGTTTGGAAAGAGGTCCAACTCTAATCCAGATTCACTATACAACTTGAAGCTAGCCCGGCAGGCCATCATCCGGCTTTACAGCTGCGGCCTGCAAGTCAGATAGTCAATTGCAGCGGGTATTGGGCGAAGCGTTCTTCACATGCTAGCATGATACTGTAGTATGTGTAGTATGCAAACACGGCATTCCAGAGTGATATACGTGTTAGTTCCGTGCTCGATGTCATGGCTTCTACTATGGTGGCCTCCGTGAGACTGGCAGCACTTTGGGGTCAGGGGGCAAGAGTGTG